TCTGGAGTACAAGGCTTGGTCATAAAACTTCTCTACATATTTACAGGGTTTTCAGGGTTTTTTGGTCAACACAATACTTTCCATTGTCTACGGTTCCATACATCACATCAGAGTATACATGTGACATTATTTAAGAGCGATATTAACAGATGTATCGGCAGAGGGAGAAAAGAGAGAGAGAGAGAGACATAAATGTACAGTAGTCTCTTCTTCTAGGCTTTACACCAGCCTAGTAGCCTACTGTGGTAAGAAGTAACAGTCCTCCTTAGGAGAATAATAATAGGCCTCCAGATAAAAGGATATGTCCCAGGTGTGTAAACCAAACATCCTGGCCACTCATTCCTGTGCTCTGAGGGGGAACTGGTTGGGTGGCACAGCCCTCTCAATGCCCTGGACACACAGCTGTCCCTTATAAGTGGACTGTACCATCCAGGCTTTTGTTGTCATTTTGATTTGTTTTCAGTCATAACCACTCTGCAACCCCATTTACATTATACGGTAGGTCAGCAGGCAATACACAAATATATTCACACAAAACATACTGTGCAAGATCAAATCAATACACTTGACTGAAAACAGCTGCACTGACATAAACACTACTCTGTTCCTCTACTTTAGGTCTTGAATGCAAATATAGTTCAATGTAAACACCAAAAGATAATTCTTTCACATTTGTAAAATTGCTTTATTTCTGAAGAATCCAGTGATGAGAGATACATATAACATAGATATCAGTAAATGTCTGAGGCCACACAGTGATCCATTGTCCTAATACAACTCTGTGATCAAGCCTCGATCACTAACGATTAGGCTTACTGAAATTATATAACAGCACTTTTATTTGAGGGAAAACAACATTTTTCAGTAATGTATATTGCCACAACAGAAAACAAACAGTTTTGGTTATTGACATTGTAACCAGCCAAGCTTTACCAGTGCATATAAATATCAATATAAATATAGTTACAAATCATATACAGACTAAATCAGGAAGCCCTTAAGCATATGTGATCACCAGAACAAATACCTCTTAACAGATCTGCTAGTGCGTGCAGTGATAAGCACTATATAAGTGATAAGGGTTTTCTTCTCTCAGAAGTTACAGTTCAACTGAATGGACAGAAGAGAGAAGAAGGTGGGTTGACCACTCAAAGACATTGCTTTTCATTCAGGCCACTTTGACTGTTTTTGATTCATATAATTCCATTTAGCTCTATGCATTCTGAAGAATGGCAGTTCATCAAGCAAAGTCAATGACAAAGCAAAGCCTGAACCAGAGAGCTAATATTTCCTCTTGCTCGACCTTCTTGGCATAGCAACAGTGAAAACACTGCAGATGGGGACAGGGCTGTGCACACAAGGATATGATTGATCAGTTCGATCAATGTATGCATTGAGAAATCATCAGATAGATGTAGGGTTGGGAGGAACATTTCACAACCTTGTAATCTTTGCCTGGTCTCAATATCCCTGATTAGATAGTATAGCAGGAGACTCTAGTCTAGGGAAGGATTTGCTTTATGACTCAGTAATTGGAGTGCAAGATGCCAGCCATTGGTCAATGGTCATTAGCATTGTACAGTGGGTTAAAGTGCATGCAAATGTATTGGGACAATAATGTCTCCCTCTATATCAGACAGCCGTCAACAGCCAGTAATAAGTGGCATTACCTGCAGGGCAAATGCAAAACACAGAGACGTGATATGCACTCACACAGGAGACCTGGCCTATTATAGAGTGAGACCATTTTTAAAGAACAAACAACATTTCATATTTCTGGAAAAAACAAGGTGTTTCACAGCAAAGGTGTGAAAGTAGTGTACAGAATATTTCACATAAACATCCTAAACTCAGCCTTCTTTTGCTGAGTAGGTAGTAGAGTATTGTGGATCGGGGGAGTCGTGGGTGACTGTGTGTGGGTAAGGGCGGTGAGAGAGACCTAAGGTGTCAGATGGCAATCGAGTCAAGATCTTAGATAGGGGGTCCTCCCTTCTCATTCCCAATTTCCCTCCCTCACGCCATCCATCCACTGCTTAGTTTATTAGTGCCATGGTGCTCTCTGGCTGTTCCCCGCAGATCCCGGATAAGAACTCGAGTGCCAGACACACGTGGACAGGCACAAAGACATAGGAGGTGTAGATGACCATGGCCATGGAAGAGAAGAGGACAGAGTTGAAGATGGACTGCTCCCAGGGCTCAAGCACATATATTCCTGTGATGAGCAGGTACTGGTAGTACAGCCAGCTCAGGTACTCCTTCAGGTATTTCAAGACCATCCTCATGCTGCTCCAGTGGTCAGGGAGAGGATGGGAGAGGCAGAGAAAGGAACAGAGAGAGCGCGAGATAAAAGAGAGAAGGAAGGAGGAGCGGAGTGATAGGGGAGAGAGAGAGATAAATAAAAGGGAGGGAGAAAGAGAGAAAGGAGGGTGGCAGTGGTAATTGCAGCAGGGGACACAATGGGCATGAACACACAAGACAGACAACACAACATCAGACGACACCCATGTCTTACATACTTACCATATCCTTGAGGGAGGTAACAATGCAAAATGGTATTAGAAAACACATTACATGTGGGTCTGTGTTTATTAATGAGAAGGTCCAGGGTCAATCACACCCCATCTGGGGGCCACAGGGGTCTCTGGTGGAGAGGCCCTGCAGAATTTAGCTCCTGAGAGCCCCAGACAAGGTAAATTAAAACTGTACACACACACTGTGTCCCACTCAAACAGCACACGTGGCACCTTTCTTTTTATTGTCAATGCTGTCAAAATGTCCACCACCGTACAGATGGTGGGAAGGAACAGACATTGACTCCATCATGAGGAAAGAGAACAGACATTTACTCTACTTCCACAAAGGGTAGTTGACATTAAGTAGCTAAGGGGACAATAGGAAAGCCTCTCTCAGAGTCAGTGCCTCAGTGGGGGTTGACAGGTGTCAGGTAAACTGACCTGACACCAGTGCACACTTCTTCACCAGAGTAATCGCCTACTCATTAATAAACGGTTATGGACCAAATATATAAAAACACACACTGTGGCATGTCAATAAATGAACCTAAAATATGATCCAAGCATGTGTGGTTGTTTTCCAGGTCCTATCCTGCTACACACCTCTGATAAATAATTGTGGCTACACTAATGCCCTAGAGACATTGTGACAATTTAATAGGCCTTCTCACATTAATGTAGTCTGCATGCCTATACGACACAATGATAATCTGTAACAATATATAGGCCAACAAAAAACAACAGTAGGGATCATATAAAAGTGAGCTCACCTCTGTCTGATAACGTGCTGCTGTCCTCACTCCCTCGGTTCTTTTGGCTAGTTTATTGCAGGACACCAGAGAGAATGGCCTGTGTCCCACTACTGTTCCGCTGCTTTGTGTAAAAAGCTGCACTACCAGTTCACCAATATAGCCTACATGTAGCAGGTCATACAGTCTTTACACCACACCCACTACTCTTTAGTCTTTACACTCACCTGGGGTTCACGTGGAGTTGGGTATGGGTTTTTACTGAAAGCGTTCCGTGTATGTGTGTCTTCGAACTCTATAAACGAACATCTAAATAAGTCAGGATTCTTCACAAATAGGGTTAATCCATAGTCGTTTAGTCAGTGGAATAGTCATCAAAACTCTGTCCTGGTTTATTGGATTGGAGACGCCTGACACGCGCAACTTTTGTATGGCATTCTCATAGAGAAAGATCGAGAACTCTAGTGGCCAAAAGCCGGTTATAGCATGGGCAGCGCCTTTGAGGATTTTCGCCTTTTTTAAGTAGTCAACTGAGTGGGACTTAAGGAAGGATCACATAATGAATTATGCTCGTGAGCAAACGTTCCATAACTGCAGGTGGCAGTAAATAACCAACCTTGGCTTTATACCTGTTCAAACAACACACTCCAGGTGGCAGTGTGCACCCGCTCAGTTTGTTTACCAACTCATAGAAGTAGTAGAAGAAGAAAATGGAGATGGCCTCAATTGCGCTGCCCATGCGCACAGACGCCATGATGGGACAGATACAAAGAAGAGTCCTCTATAATTCTCTACAGGCATCCCCCCTCTTCTCTTTGAACATGACAGTTTTACTTGCCACACAGGGGGTCAAATGCATAATCTCCACTGCCTGCAAGTGGACTGTGCACTGAATTATCCCAAAACATAATTCGCCCAAAACAGCGCAATGCACACTCTGCAACTGACAGGGGATGCAAGAAGTCAGTGTTGCTACAGAACTGGCAAATTAACAGATTGCTCCAAAATGTTGGGTGATTGGATAGCCTATTTAGCCGATAGCCTTTATTCCTCTAGAAACCAAATGAAGAGGATATATTTTCAGCACATTGGAATCCCCTCTTTTACATCCCAGTACTCTCTTTCATAGTCTATATCTTTTGGAACAAAATGAGTTTCTACAACTTCTCACCTACATACATTACTGATGTTTAAAGACAGGGCTGAGCCGCTCTGTCCAGTTGACTAAACAGACAGTCTCCAAGCATACAGAGTGCCCCGGGTGGACGTCTGGAAGCTAGACTCACCGCATGAGGGAGCATGTCACTGTCTGGGACTCTGAACAGTTGAACAGTCAGGTAGCCCACTGCTCTTTGAATAGTATTCTTGGAAGGAGTGAAAAGTGGACATACCGGGTCAGAAAAAAGGGATGATAAAATGAGGTGAGTGGGTGATAAGAACCGGCTTTGATGGAGAGGAAGGAGAGAGCATATACTGTAGGTGTGTGCAGGGGAAGTGGGTGAGAAAAGGGGGTCAGGGGAAGAGAGTGGGTGGGATGGTAGAGAACCCCCTGATCTACATTATTGTCCTCTGCCTCGAGGGACCTAAAGTTACTTTCCCAAGGATCTGGTTACCCCTAACAACCTGTTTAAGTTGCCAAAAAACAAGATCCCACCTCTTCCCTTATGGTTCAGTAACATCTTCCCCACTTCTCCTGCTCCTTCTAGTGGATGCCGTGTGTCGCAGAATGAAAAAGTCATATTGTAACCAGATTGTTTTATTTGATGTACTAGAACAACACTTCATTTCAACATCACCACAAACCACCGCCTCTAATATGGAGACAGGGAAGGGTAAACAAGGGCAGGGTCCCATCAATAACTCAGCAACCTCAGAAGTGACCAGTCTGCAGCATTCTGATTGGCTGCTGTTGGGGGGAGACTGTATGCAATGGTAGCTGACAACGGGTGGCATTACCATTCTTATTGGACTACTAATCACTCATGTTATTAGTAGGATTCCCATTTGTCTAGTCAAACATCATATTGATATTAGTAAGACCCTGATTGGTCTGAGCAGTCATTACGTGGATGTAAGCCGGCGATTGGTCTATTCGGTCAGCATGTCGGCTCCCTCTCCCCCGGTGGCGTCTGTTAGGCTGAGGTCCTCCAGCATCTCCATCAAAGAGATCCGAGGAGCGCCCTCGTCATCCGTGTCACTCTCCACTGGGATCTTAGACGCATCTGCAATACAAAACAACACAACTTCATGAGGCTACAGCTAAATTGGATCAATAGAAAGCTATGGGTGACAATTGGGGGAAACAGACAGGTTCTCACAAGAAAAACTATAAAGAGAAGCAGAAAGCTGTGGTCCCACTCACCTCTGAAGATGTTGACGTTCTTTCTCAGGGCTTCGTCTTCCTCCAGGTCCTCTAGGAAGTCCTGGTATTGTCTGAAACAGGAAGAGAGGAGAACAATATATAAATCACCTCCAATGTTGTAGACAAGACACCTTTCACAACTTACAAAGTCATCACCTGGATATAGTGCATATCCATCCTTCACTCTCAGTTCTCTCTCCTCATCCCTTCCTGCTTCTCCCCCTCTACATTCCTCCTCGCTCATCAGTTCCTCCTCTCCTCCTTACCTCTCGTCTTCAGGCGCCATGCCCTCTCTGTCTTTGTCCATCTCCTTCAGCTTCCAGTTCCTGCGCTTCACCCTCTTGCTGCGGTTGTAGCTCTTCTTGATCAGCACCTGCAAGTCCACAACAAGCATGTTCAAATGGCTTCAATACATGCATTGATTTTGTTTTGTTATTATGTATTCTGTCCTTTGCAGTCATGTGCTGCAAGTGAATAGTATTTGGTCAGGTGGCCAATGTTTCCATTAGAGAATTGACATTTCAACTCAATGCAGCAAACATTAAAATCTGGCCAATACCACAATGTCCACCAGGGGGCAATGTGAACTAAGGCAGACAGTGCAGTACATTGTCAAAGGTCTGTTGTTTTGGAGCAGGGTTCTCCAACCTTTTCTAGCATGAGAGCTACTTTGAAAACATTTAACTTGCGAGCTACAATTTATTTTATTCGAAATAGGCACATTGTTCCCTTCTCCTCTAACTCGTCCCAGGGTCCTTGGTGTACAAGAGATGTGTTTTCTGTCAATATACCTGGCAGAATAATGGTTGATAAACAGTATTTGGCATGACAGGCCCATAAAATAATATTTTGTATTTTCCAGAACTGTTTTCTGTTGTATTTTTTCTGGTCTGGGATTTTTTGTAATGTTTTCTACTCTCAATATTACAAATATTAATAGAGAAACAATGAAAATTGATGTTCTGAGTCCATGTCAATGCTTACATCACACCAGAAGACCATTTTTGAGGTCTGGAAAGTGTGTGTAATTCCCCTTTAAATTGCGCATCTAGCAAGAGAGGAATGTGTGGGTCTAGCCATGTTACGCTTCCAACACACCAACTGCGTCATTGCGTTTTGGTACACCCTGCCTGTGCCATTAAACCCCTACAACTCATCCAGAATGCCGCAGCCCGTCTGGTGTTCAACCTTCCCAAGTTCTCTCACGTCACCCCGCTCCTCCGCACACTCCACTGGCTTCCAGTTGAAGCTTGCATCTGCTACAAGACCATGGTGCTTGCCTACGGAGCTGTGAGGGGAACGGCATTTCCGTACCTTCAGGCTCTGATCAGTCCCTACACCCAAACGAGGGCATTGCGTTCATCCACCACTGGCCTGCTGGCTCCCCCCACCTCTGCGGAAGCACAGTTCCCGCTCAGCCCAGTCAAAACTGTTCGCTGCTCTGGCACCCCAATGGTGGAACAAGCTCCCTCACGACGCCAGGATAGCGGAGTCACTCACCACCTTCCGGAGACACTTGAAACCCCACCTCTTTAAGGAATACCAGGGATAGGATAAAGTAATCCTTCTACCCCCCCCCCCCCCCCCAAAAAAAAGTGGTTTTAAAGTAAAGTGGTTATCCCACTGGCTATAAGGTGAATGCACCAATTTGTAAGTCGCTCTGGATAAGAGCGTCTGCTAAATGACGTAAATGTAAATTCATTTCCAATGGAACGCTACGTTTGCCTCGCAGCATTGCGTTGCAGAGGCAGTTGCAGTGCGTTCTGTGTGGTGCATACTTTGGATTTATCGAACGTATGCGTCAAACTGTCTGCGTAAACGTGTTGACAGAAATGGTAGCAGAAGGTGAATGTTGAACTTTAGTTGCACACATATCTAGATGATGCTGCATACTATTTTGCGCAAGGACGCAGTCGGTGTGTTCAAAGCGTTAGGCCTACTGCAGCAGCGTGTCATGGCAGAGTTTGCAAAACAATGGCCCCAATTGAAACAAATAATCATAATTTATAGCTGTCAGGTAAGCCTACTTTGAGGTTAACATTTAATAGAGAAGGTTTTTGGGGGAAGTCTGTCTAGTCTTCTGTATAAAAATGTGCACAATGTTGGGTTGAACCTCAAACACAAACCAATTGAAGAAAAAATACGTTATCATTAGCATCGCTAACTGGCTACATACGGAGTGATAGACAAACACGCGCACCAAACACACAGACAGGGGCAACATTGCTTGAAATTAATTGGCAGATAGTGTGTTAGGTTTGACTTTTTAAGCCAATAGTTGGCTAACCAGGGGTGGGAACATGTCAATGTGGCTTTGATTGGATATTAGCCAGGAGCTTTATGTTTATGTGATGGAAAAATTGATGTACTTTCAGAATTGATTGGCAGCTACTCATATGTGGGCTGGGAGCTACAGGTAGATCTACCTGTTGGTGATCCCTGTTTTGGAGGATATACACGAGTGTGCACACAGTGGTATGTACTGGTTCTTACCACGTCAGGAATATGACTCGGGTTCATCTTGTTCAGAAACTCGTCATTAACATTGGAATTGGCAAAGTCAAAGCTAGAGGGAAACAAAAGTGAAAAGACTTAACATGTTATCTTACTTCACAAGCAAAATAATTAGGTATTGTTTTGATTCTCTTATACAGCAAGAAGTTACATGAACATTTAAGAGTTGTGTAGCTGTATAGAAGCCCATGACAATCACCTACCCCTGCACCATGTCTCCTATGTTAAGCAGGTGGCCCAGGTGGGTGCGACAGTGGTACTGCTGAGCTGTGTCCATCTCTGATGTCTTCTGCACCCACACCTCAGCCAGGGTGTGCTGGAAACACACAAATCAGAACACACACACACAAGATTTAGCCTAGCACCACCCTTACTTCTATTCCTTTCCACTAAATGGATGAAGGGTGTTTAGTGTTCCAACACCCTTAGATGGGGGAGTGGATCGTTATCGTACCGTAGCAAGCCCATTCCCTGTTCCATTTTACACAAAACACTTCATGTATTGTGGAGGGTTTTTCTCTAATCTGATGTGCTGCTTCAGGAACAATGTAATGGTTCACTATTGATTTTTCTTCCAAGAAAAGAGAAATGTTCCCCATAATTCAATCTGCTCGACACCACTTTCATTAAAGCCACAAACACACCAAAGACCCGCAGTCATGCTGTATCAACCCAAACAATCTGTCTCGCCAACACACACACTAGAACATGTTTTTCCTCACATGGAGTGAGGGAAGTTGCACGCATGAACACACACAACATCTAAAGAAACAGACTAGCAGCATTTATTTCTCTTGAAATTGAGGCATTCTTGCTAATGATGCACACTTCTGCCCAATTCCAAATCACCGCCCATTTCCCTCAGAACTCCTACCTTATTGGACCTTATGCCTGCTCCCGCCCCCAGCTTCTGGTTCCTGATGACCTCAGTATCCATGACGATGAACTCCTCCAGTTGCCGTGGGCTAACGAGGCTGCTGAAGGGGTTGCGCCAGTATGTGCCCCCATCCACCTCAGCGACTGTTGGGGTCAGACAGGAGAAATAGAATTACATGTTTATCTCTATGGAAAGTCCAGTTTCAATTTTGACTGCTCAAAACAACACCAATAATTTCCTTGTGTGTGCACGCACGATACATTGATTTATTTTAACTTCACCCCCTCCTGCAGTCGAGTGCTTTGGCTAGCACGGATCATTGTTCTGCCCAGAGGCTGAGGTTGAGAAAGGCGGCTCTGGAGCAAAAATAGCCTTTCTTTGAACACTAATTAAAAACGTGTGCCCTGCCTTTCAAAATATCAGAATTAATCACAGATGGAATCTTTTTACACACAGCACACAGGCAGTAATGACAAGAAATGAGTGTGTGTGTGCCATGTGTGGAATGCCCTGATTAGACACAGAGGGAGGCTGTTGAGAGTGAGAGGATGGTGATGAGCATGTGGTGAACAGACACACTAAACGATACTGGGTTCAGTTAGGTACAAAAGACTAAAGTCAAGTGGAATATAATCACATTCCATCAGTCTAACAAAAACTGATGCTAAAAATATGGAGCAGATGGTAAACATTTGATGCTTGTTACGGATACAGGTATCCTGTGTCTTTTTCCTCTCCTTCTGCCCTAATCACAGGTGTCCTGTATGTTCCTGATTGATGGTCGTTGGGGTGTCTGCTGATTGCTGAGGTGGACCAATCAGTGGACATTCCTCTGCATTGCACCACCTGTTTCTGGTTTTTCAATCACACATCCCATTGTTTAAAAGCCGGTCAGTTGTGTTTGTAGAGAAGAGGCTATTTTCCGTATGTGAGTATGGATACTGTGGTGTCCTGTGTACTCACTCATTTGCTGGTTACTCTGTTTGGTAACTTTGTTGTGTGTTTCTGGGAAAAGGGGAATTTAAGCAAGTTGCCCTTGGGCATACATTACCCGTAGGAAAACTGTCTAAGAACACTAGTTAGACCTGAGCGGACCACCCACTGTATTTTTGTATGATTAGCAGTAGCTTAGCGGTTCTTGAGGCAGGCAAGATCAGTTTAGTTTTTTTTTACACTATTGTTTCATTTCTTGGGTCCTGCTTAGCCCTTTTTCCCAAACCTTTACCGTGTGTTCAAAAATAAAAAAATTATGTTTGACGGTAGTTTATGGTTGTCGTGTAGTTTTTGTTCTCACTGTTCCATGTCACGATTCTAATTTGCATGAATTATGTTACGGGTCTCTTGTCCATCCACCCTAGACGTTTAAAGCCACGGGGTTCGTAACAATGCTTTATATCAAAACAAGCACAAACTCATCCACAAATCCAATCACCTTTCAATGTTGAACTTGTCAACATATCAACATCAATCAATCAAGCAAAGCATATATCTAAAAGCAATTTTTCAGTAGCCAGAATAGCATGTGGTGAAACAGTCTCTGTCCCCTGGCAGCTAGGGGCCGACAGTAAAGGTGGTGCTGGTGTGTACTGTACTCACTCTGCAGGGTGTTGGGGTCGATGAGGTGGATGGTGCTGGTGACTCGGGCACACACACACACCTGGCCCATGTTCCCCAGGCTCTGAGCCAGACGCGGCGACAGACACACCACGTTGTCCTGGGGAATGAGACAAAACAAACCAGGGGTCAGACTGAACTTTGGAACCTCCCTCCCCACCGGATTATTCCATAGAGAAACCGACAGCAAGCCAGCCAGCTGTAGTACAGGAGAGATTAACATTCAACTCTGGATTAGGCTAAACCTTCATGAACAATCTCCTCTGAATAACAGAGGCTGTCATTGCCAGTTTGGTTATACAAGGGGTCGGCTAGGTTGTTTCATCAGCGTGTTTACAATTTGTCTCACAAACGCAAAATAAGATTCTGATTAGGAAAACATTTCATTGAACTTGAAAATGTTAAGTCATATCCGTTTACTTAATATGCCAGTGCTGTAATACTTCAATCAGTCATTGGATAGAAATGCACAAAAACACGTGGATAGAATTGGATATTAATTAAATTCACTCTTCACATGTATGGTCAGAAGCCAAGCATCAATGCTTGTGTACTCAGTCTACATGTTGGAACCTATGAGTAGATTAATCTACTACACGAATCCAAAAGAAGAGCATTGACGAGAAACCTTCACTTAACAAAAAAGCTTGAGTAAAGATTCCTGACCTAAACACACCCAGATTGATTCTAATTAAGTTTTCATTTGATGGTTCAAAAGCATCTTCTAAAACACAGTTCTATCCAAGGGAAGCTGTGTCTGTTATAAGGAATCTGTATAGGTCTGCCCTGGACTGTTTGTACCTGAGCATTTGAGTATAGATGCGCTCTGTTCACCTATTCAACCACGTTTCAGCCCAGCACCTTAAAGATATACAGTGCATTCGGAAAGTATTCAGACACCTTCCCCTTTTCCACATTTTGTTACGTTACAGCCTTATTCTAAAATGGATAAAATATTTTTTTTTCTTCCCACATCAATCTACACACAATACCCCATAATGACAAAGCGAAAACAGGTATTTACAAATTCTTGCTAATTTATTCAAAATAAAAAAACAAATACTTTATTTACATAAGTATTCAGACCCTTTGCTATGAGACTCGAAATTGAGCTCCGGTGCATCCTGTTTCCATTGATCATCCTTGAGATGTTTCTACAAACTGAGCAATCGGGGGAGAAGGGCCTTGGTCAGGGAGGTGACAAAGAACCTGATGGTCACTCTGACAGAGCTCCAGAGTTATTCTGTGGAGATGGGAGAACCTTCCAGAAGGACAACCATCTCTGCAGCACTCCACCAATCAGGCCTTTATGGTAGAGTGGGCAGACGGAAGCCACTCCTCAGTAAAAGGCACATGACAGCCCGCTGGGAGTTTGTAAAAAGGCACCTAAAGGACTCTCAGACCATGAGAAACAAGATTCTCTGGTCTGATGAAACCAAGATTGAACTCTTTGGCCTGAATGCCAAGCCTCACGTCTGGAGGAAACCTAGCACCATCCCTACGGTGAAGCACGGTGGTGGCAGCATCATGCTGTGGGGATGTTTTTCAGCGGCAAGGACTGGGAGACTAGTCAGGATCGAGGGAAAGATGAACGGAGCAAAGTACAGAGAGATCCTTGACGAAAACCTGCTCCAGAGCACACAGGACCTGAGACAGGAGTGGCTTCGGGATCAAGTCTCAATGTCCTTGAGTGGCCCAGCCAGAGCCCTGACTTGAACCCGATCGAACATCTCTGGAGAGACCTGAAAATAGCTGTGCAGCGACACTCCCCATCCATCTGACAGAGCTTGAGAGGATCTGCAGAGAATGAGAGAAACTCCCAAAATACAGGTGTGCCAAGCTTGTAGCGTCATTCCCAAGAAGACGCAAGGCTGTAATCGCTGCCAAAGGTGCTTGAACAAAATACTGAGTAAAGGGTCTGACTACTCATGCAAATGTGATATTTCAGTTGTTGTTTTTTACAGTACCAGTCAAAAGTTTGGACACCTACTCAGTCAAGGGGTTCTTTATTTTCACTATTTTCTACATTGTAGAATAATAGTGAAGACATCAAAACTATGAAATAACACATATGGAATCATGTAGTAAACAAACAAACAAACAAAAAAGTGTTAAACAAATCAAAATATATTTTATTTAGGATTCTTCAAATAGCCACCTTTTGCCTTGATGACAGCTTTGCACACTCTTGGCATTCTCTCAACCAGTTTCACCTGGAATGCTTTTCCAACAGTCTTGAAGGTGTTCCCACATATGCTGAGCACTTGTTGGCTGCTTTTCCTTCACTCTGCCTTCCGACTCATCCCAAACCATCTCAATTGGGTTGAGGTCAGGGGATTGTGGAGGCCAGGTCATCTGATGCAGCACTCCATCACTCTTTTTTTTCTCCCTCCTCCTTCTTAAAAAATATATTCCCCTTTATTACTTTCCAACCCCACCACCCTTTCCCTAATTGGAGTAAACTAGTGAACAACAATGCTTAGGCCTCTACTTCCAGCTTATATTTACTATATACATTTTATGGACAGTCAATTTTACAATAATTATATTTTGTTTGTTTTTTCTCCTGAACTACTTCTACTCTCAACCTCTCCGATCATTTTCATGATGCCATCCGGTTTGCTTCTATATGCCATATCTTTCTAACTGTGCTCTTTCACAAAAGCTCCCAAACTACAACCTATATATACTTATTATGGACACAGTATGCTTACATTACTAGTTATCAGTTGTTGTTAGTTGTTATTAGTCCCATCCTTCAACTCCATTCAACACCACCCATCTATCTCTTAACACCATCCATATAGGATTTATTTGCCATATATTTTTCAACTGTACTGTGATGTTTTACAAAAGTTCTGAACATTTCTATTCTCATTGTTTCTACATATTGTAAATTGAAAATAAACATTTTTGCTAAAAGTATTATTATATTATTGATCGATTGACTATGACTTTTCAGATCACCCAGTAATGCTATCTGCAAGGTTAGCTCCAGGTTCTGTCTCTTCGCAGCAAAATCTGCAGAGCTGGGAAGATTGTATCCCCCATATAAATAACATTCTATTGGTAGCAAGAATTTTATATAATAATTTAAATTGAAAGATTAAAAGTTTTGAATCCGGTGTCGTTTTGCGTATCAGTTCATAAACACTATGCCATGGGATCGGTAAGTCAAAAATCTCTTCCCAACTATCTATATGGGACGGCTGTCAATCCTTTGGTCCTTAAAATGAAACTGCTATACTTTTTTATTTATCACAATTTTCTTTAACCAATTATGTTCTTTAATGCAAGGCCGACAGACAAGTTCTTTACATTCTCCCCCTTCCACTTTCCTCTTCCATTTTTGCGGTAAGGCTGCAATTATTTGGTTGTAATTTGGGGTAGAGCAGACATTTCCATACGTTTTTGTTAGCTGCATGTGCAACATAACTCCACCAGTCCTACTGATGATATCATTTACGAAGATTATACCTTTTTAAAACATTTTGTCAAAAAAAAAGGTGAATTTTTTAGTGATCCAATTCGTAATATAGTACATTTGTCATAATTATCACTCTCCTTCTTGGTAAAATAGCCCTTACACAGCCTGGAGGTGTGTTGGGTCATTTCCTGTTGAAAAACAAATGATAGTCCCACTAAGCCCAAACCAGATGGGATGGCATATCACTGCAGAATGCTGTAGTAGCCATGCTGGTTAAGTGTGCCTTGAATTCTAAATAAATCACAGACAGTGTCACCAGCAAAGCACCCCCACACCATAACACCTCCTCCTCCATGCTTTATGGTGGGAACTACACATGCAGAGTTCATCCGTTCACCCACACCGCGTCTCACAAAGATACGGCGGTTTGAACCAAAAATGTCCAATTTGGACTCCAGACCAAAGGACAAAATTCCACCGGTCTAATGTCCATTGCTTGTGTTTCTTGGCCCAAGCAGGTTTCTTCTTTTTATTGGTGTCCTTTAGTAGTGTTTTCTTTGCATCAATTCATCCATGAAGGCCTGATTCACACAGTCCCCTCTGAACAGTTGATGTTGAGATACGTCTATGACTTGAGCTCTGTGAAGCATTTATTTGGCTGCAATTTCTGAGGCTGGTAACTCTAATGAACTTATCCTCTGCAGCAGAGATAACTCTGGGTCTTCCATTCCTTTGGCGGTCCTCAGAGCTAGTTTCATCATAGCGCTTGATGGTTTTTGCGACTGCACTTTCAAAGTTCTTGAAATGTTCCATATTGACTGACCTTCATGTCTTAAAGTAATGATGGACTGTCATTTCTCTTCACTTATTTGAGCTGCTCTTGCCATAATATGGACTTGGTCTTTGACCAAATAGGGCCATATTCTGTATACCCCCCTACCCCCCACAACTGATTGGCTCAAATACATTAAGAAATTCCACAAATTAACTTTTAAGAAGGCACACCTGTTAATTGAAATGCATTCCAGGTGACTATGTCATGAAGCTGGTTGAGAGAATGCCAAGAGTGTGCAAAGCTGTCATCAAGGCAAAGGGTGGCTATTTGATGAATCTCAAATATATTTTGATTTGTTTAACACTTTTTTGTTTACTACATAATTCCATATGTGTTATTTCATAGTTTTGATGTCTTCACTATTATTCTACAATGTAAAATATAGTAAAAAAGAAAAACCCTTGAATGAGTAGGTGTGTCCAAACTTGACTGGTAGTGTACATTTGCAAAAATGTCTAAAAACCAGTTTGCTTTGTCATTATGGGGTATTGTGTGTAGATTGATGAGGGAAAAACTAACAATTTAATCAATTTTTGAATAAGGCTGTAACGTAAAAAAAATATGGAAAAAGTCAAGGGGTCTGAATACTTTCCGAATGCACTGTATGTAGAGCATTTGACCTTCAGTATTTATGAGGAAGATGCTACATACCTTGCAAACAGGAACAATCTCAATGGAGTAGGTGCTCTTGTAGTTGAATGTGTTTGAGTGGATGTCGTGGGAGATGAGGCGCTGGGAGGTCTTCGACCTAAACAAGACAGAGTGACACAAACAAACCATAAAGACAATACTACAATAATATCTTGTCAGAAAATATAAGCAACTTTCTCAATCATCTCCATGCTAAGCTAGAAATATATATTTTTTCAAAAAAATATATAGATGTCTATAGACATTGAATAATTGTAGCACTAGCCACACAGACCGCACTTACTGTGGTTAGTGTGGTCTAGCTCATCACTGTTCAATTAAATGTCAACATGTTGTCCCAACACCAAATGAACATTGCATGGGTATTATGCAATAACCATGAAGGAGCCATCCAGAGTAGGAGATGTCACCCGTAGACACTGACCTCAGGTCAGAGTTTTGTCACTACAGGGCAATCTCTACCCGTAGTGGAGGGTCTCTGGTGCACTGGTTCCTACCTGCAGGGGACTGTGCACTGGAGGAAATCAACCATCTTCTGAGCATGCTGCTTGGTGGCATAGTAGAAATCAATACCATCTGAGAGAGGACAAAGATTAAAAACAAATCAGTCCTCAGTCAATAAATCAATCACAGGCACACACCACACGCGACCTCAGTCATCACCATTCCAACACACTTAATACTCCAGCCTCAGTAATACAGACCAGATGGGCCCCTGGGGGGAAATATGGCCGCCACATGTTGATGCCTCAAGGCTTTTTACTCTGGCTAGAGAGGGAGGTAATTTATATCGAACTGTCAAAGGCCAGCTTCTCCCTTACAATCTGGTCCAACCGCACTGGGCACTGCTTCTGAAATATCTCTCACTACACAGTGTGTGTGTGACTGAAAATAGGACCCGAGTCAAACAGCATTGTTGGCATGGTAAATGGAATGCTCAGTACTATGATCCTACCACACTGATTATGAACACATGGCCATGCCCTTCTAAAGCCTGGGATAGGAAAGCTTTATTAAGAAAATCATCAATGTCAATAGAAAGCTTGAATGGTCTGGTGTCTCTTCCTGGATGAAAACCCCACTTTAGAGCAGTATATTCTATCCCAAACCCACCATGGATCTCTTTGATGTTGAGTGCGTTCTGATGGAGTTTGTGCTTGAGAATCAGCTGCTCCAGGTAGTAGAACGTCTTCTTGTGAGAAGTCTGTAAAAAGGACCAGACCAATAATAGGTTACAAACATGTTAAAAACGATTGTTGTGGTGAGCAACATTAATAATATAATCATAATCATCAGTGTTACCTTCTGTCTGACTTGCACCACAGAGTTCCAGAAGTCCTTGGCCTCGACACGGTGGCAGTCGTCACACATTTGGCCCTGGATGACAAACTCCACCACAAACACCTGCTGCAGGATGGCTCCGTTCATCACCTGGACAGGACAGACCACACAACCATCAACCACTATTCTCTTATATGACTGACTCAGAACATAGTTCAGGACTGTAATAAAACACTTTAAAATCCAGAACTGGGCTAGAAAGCTGTGACCCAAAGGGAATTGGCTGTGACCCAGCAGCGAATCATTACCCACCCACCATTTGGGAAACACTGATGTGTAAGACTTTATTCATCAGGGTGTGGTGCTGCTATTTCTGGTGACTAAAGGGCATCTAGATACAAGATCACACAAAACCCCCTACACTCCAGACAAAGGCCTGGGCCCTGAGGAGCTCAGTTTCCTCTGAAAGGTCATGAAGTTAAGATGACAGCCACTGGCTAACCTTCACCCAATCACTGTGCTCTGAAACTACAGTCAGCCCTTTATCCCTTTACTGTCACCTGGATTAAATAATGACAGCATGGACATTAGCGGTGGGACACATCCTCCAGATCAGGTTCCTAATCCACACTAATCCCTTCTATTAAATATCACACTCTCATGCCTCTCATTTCTCCACTCGGCTCTTCCCCTCAATCTCACCTCTTTCTGTATGGTCACCTTCAACTTGATCCGCTTGGAGTGGGGTTCCGTCCACAGGAATCCAGCATCGATCAGACGCACCTGGATTGAGAGGTCACATGAATTTCTGAGGCGAATGGCTACAGCCCTGTTGAAAAATGTGAACAAGTGTATGTTTTAATATAAATAGAACAGAGTAGGGAAGGGATACTCACTTTGGTCATGTTGCCCTTCAGTTTTTTAAGGCAGAGGGCGAGCAGTTCCCTGGACTCCAGAGCACACTGCACCCAGGAGGCTGGAGGCTGCAAGTACCTGCATGGAACAGAAAGAGGAGCTATCAATCCATCTGAACTAATGTTGGAGCCTTGGCAAGATCCCACAGTTAACTGACTAACAATCCTTTGGTCAAGTAAGAGCAATAGACAGGGATTTATACATCTTAGCTGTGGCACTAAGTTAGACAGGCTTGTGATGGTGGTCTGCGCAGTACCGTTCACACTGCTTGCAGAAGTGCAGATTGACTTGCTTGGGGATTCCCTCAGAGATGTCCACTGTGGTTCTGAGGCAGGACACACACATGTTGGCTGGGTTTGGGGGGATGGGGATGCCACAGGTGCAGCACAGGCTGGGGAGAGGAGAGAAACCATTTCTTAATTAGTGCTGTACCAACTGATACCTTTGAAAAAGCTATGAATCTACACATTCACACCAATGGTAAATGACAGATTATTTGTAGCATGTAGGAGGTTGATCATAAATTCTACTTACATGTTCCCCTGGCTGCTTGTAGCAGGAGCTTGCATGTACTCCATTATAAATGGCTTGGATGTTGCAGTGAGATCTAGATACAAGACAAATCAGGTTGATGTTATGAATCAGACAAATATGTTTACTTTTTAGATTATATACAAAAACGTCATGCAACACATCGACATGGGTAATGTGTATTGATTATAGTCAATACATGGTGGCCAGCTATCTAGTGTACTAATTTCCCTGTTCATGTTGTTTTTTTACACGACACTTAGCCATAATTAGCTACAATTCTATGATATCTCTCAGTCAGTTAACCATTCATCACAATACCACAGCTCATCTCATTTCATCATCTCATCTCATCTGACAGACCACGCTCTGCTGGCAGTTGTCGTTAGCTAGGTATACAATTGAATTTACTAAACGGCAACCAGTAACTGTTAGGATAGAAAAAGGCAGATTTAAATGGCTGGTCCTTGCTAGCTAGCCTTAGCTTTGCTAACAGGGAACAACTTTCCTTCGATGTCCGACTAATTTGCGATGATCGCGACAGTTTTGTCATTACATAGAAGGCGCCGTGTTAAAACGTTTCGGGGCCCTTAATGCCATTCATTCAATAACTGATAAACAACACGTACTTACAGAATGTTAGTCCATCTACACGTTGCGGACCTCCACGTTTCTCCACCACAAACTGGAAAGCATGAGCAGGATGATGACGACACACCACTTCCTGGTGGCAAAAGGACCCAGTCCGTTCCTCTCTTTTGCCTGAGTGCAGTTGCTTCATAAACCATTCAAATCCAATACACACAGAAGAAACTGCATTTTAAATGGAAGTCATGAAATGACTGAAAAAGTGTAATAATCCAATTAATATTTTTTTATATAAATTGGATTGGACAAGAAGGCAATTGTAAATTAATTTACCCAAAGATTAATTTATCGAACCAAAGGCATTATCGTTATCTATATATACTGTACCTTCCTCCTTTATCATTCTTCGTCGTCTTCATCGCCATTATCATCATCATTATCATCATCATCATCATCACAACAACAACAAAACAAAATATAATTTTACAAAGTACCGTATCCACAGAGTCGCTAAACCTTTGCCTTATCTGTTTGATAACCGCTCTGGGGTCATGTCTAGATGGGATACCGTTTTTGTCTAATTGACGTCAAAAGGTTTATTCGTTTAGCATTTTAGCTCACCCTAACCCTTTTCCTAACTTTAACCTAATTCTCCTAACCTACTGCGTACATTCTCCTAACCTGCTACGAAAAGTCAATTTTGACAAAAGCTGTATCCCTTCTAGACAAATCCCTGGTCTGGTCCTCTGGGTTTGCCGTAACATATATAAAGTAAACTCCGATTAAAACAATCCGTCGTGGGGGGTGCGTGCATCGGTCAAGAAGTAACGTAGGTAAAAAAAAAAAGCGATTTACCCAAACGCTATACATTTTATATTCAGCAGTATAAGGTTGCAAGTGACATTTAGTTTGTCCCTCCAGAAAGATGATGTACGTTATCCTAAACAAGCGTGTATGGTGCACACCTCACGTGCTCCAAGTGGTGCGGTCCTGCAAACCGAACGCTTCATCTGCTTCAGTTTGAGAGCACTATTTACAGCTCAATCTCGCGGTCTAAGGTTGAGGGAGCATGCAGTTTGCTTTCAAGTTAGGTTTAAACGAGGTACTTCAAAGCGAGGTCTCTCCGACTGTCTGGGGTTTTATATAGCTACCATTCTCCTCCTTGCACGGTTGTGTCAGTCACCGCATCATATGGACAAGGGACAACCGCTGGTTCACGAGGCTTTACGCTAGAGTGAGCCAGCCAAGGCAGCGTCTTTCACCCCGCTGTGTCTACGGATTCTCCAAGACATCAAGCCGCATTGCTACATGAGAGATATCAGCGTTGGGTTGAATTAATTCAGCTTTTTACACCAGATGTGCTGTAGGCTACGTTTGGTGAATTTGGTTTCGCTGATTATTTACTCTCGCATCGATAATAATGGACTGAAAGTTGCGGGTAAACAATAACAACCTGCCGTGATTTCTTGTTTGTATAAATGATAGAGGATACGATGACACTGTTGTCTCTTTTGGGTCGGATCATGCGTTATTTTCTGCTCAGACCAGAGACCTTGTTCCTCCTATGCATAAGCCTGGCTCTGTGGAGTTACTTCTTCCACACTGACGAGGTGAAAACCATCGTCAAATCCAGCCGGGATGCTGTCAAAATGGTCAAGGGGAAGGTGGCGGAGATTATGCAGAATGACAAATTCGGGGGTCTCGACGTTCTGGACGCAGAGTTCTCCAAAACCTGGGAGTTCAAGAGTAACAATGTGGCGGTGTACTCCATCCAAGGCCGGAGAGATCACATGGAAGACCGCTTCGAGGTCCTCACTGACATCGTGAACAAGAGTCACCCGTCTATATTTGGGATTTTCGATGGCCATGGGGGAGAGGTAAGATAAATTGTCTGTTATCATTCATTTGTTGAGAGACTACTTTTTTTGTGCACATGCACTTACTATGCATCAAATCATATGAATCCCTCTCCGCAGGGACATGCAGAAGGCAGTTTAGCACTTTACTTTGTGAAGATGTGCGAAAAATAAGAGACAGTCATTCTTGGGCTTACAACTTTAAAAGACTTATAGACATAACACGATTGTGTGGTATGTTGCAGATAAAGTCTCTAAACCGATTATAACAGGCTTGGGGGAAAATAGGATTAAACTCATTCAAATGTGTGACAAGAGAGCTGATAATTTCCAACCCCAGTGAGAGATGCTTTCTGATATGGGTCATATTCTGGTCTGAAAACGGTAAGTCACTGGTGCCCTGTGCATGACCATAACTTGTTATCCGATGCCCATGCACCTGTCACCCTCTCCATGTTCGGGTCACTCACTGGTCACAGACAAAGCCCTGGCAGCTGTAGGTCTTTGACTCCATGAGATGCATTCAGTGGCACAGATCGAACAGCTTGTCTCACAGAAATGCACTTCAAACTCTCATCAGCCAAATGTCCCTATAGAGGGGCTAAGCGTCCAACCGTCAGGCGCTGTGTGTGTGTGAGGGAGTTTATGTATGAGAGAGTGAGGGGGGATAGGCAGTCAGTCAATGTAATGATCATACTTTATGCGCAAGAGAGAAAGTGGGATACTGGTCTTGTTACTCCTCAACCTGACCAGAAGAGAAAGGGAGAGAATGCATGTGTTCTTTGTTGTTTTGTTAATGTGATGCTGGGGGTGGCGGAGGTTATTTCCATAGTTGGCAGGGTAACAACACTGATTGGTCATGATGGCCTGCCTGAACAGCGGCCTTGTCTCCATGAGCTGCAGCTGTGGCCACGCGGGCCTGACAGCCCAGTATTGACTGACGCCATGGAGCTACTTGAAGAAACTCACTGGCAAATGCTTTCTGACAAGCCTCCCTAACCCCTCCTCACACTGCCTCTCTCCCAGATCCAGTCTACAGACTGCCAGTGTTTTTATAAGGAGCTCTACTGTTCAGGCCTGATCAAGTCAAAGACAGAAGTTGAATATTCTGGCTTGATCCAGGCTCAAAGATAACGTTCTAAAAATAGACAGCGATGGAGATGAAGGATAACCATTCTTTTCAGGGTAGATTAAACGTTGGGCTCTACTGCAGCAGCTCCTTGCCTCCCTTTGACCAAAACGAGTCATTTGTCTGGTTTTCCCTGCAGCGTGTTTGTGTCCTCCTTCCCAGGATTCCTTATAGAGGATGGTAATCTAGGCTGTAAAAGCCTTCCTCAGCTCTGTGTGTGGGAGAGGGAGAGCAGAGAAAGAGGGTGTTCACTTCAGATTTGCTCATGTAGGCGAGGGGCTTTTTCCCCTCTCTAAGGCCTTGGGCGAGAATTTGGTGTGTTTTATTCCTACACGCTCTTTTGAAGTGTGTGAAACTGTTGCCATACACTAGCTTTTCAATGATGCTTCTGCTACAGTATGTGATTGTTTATGTATTCCTGGCCCAGGGGCGGTGCGTCAGCAGAGAGATGCAGTGTAGCCCAGGGCTGGAGAAGGAATCAATTTACCCCCAGAATGATACATAGCATCTCAAAGAAGAATAGCAAGCTGGAAACACACACTAAATGCAATACCTTGCAAGGTGTTAAGAATGAACATTTCTTTCCTTAATTGCTGGTTATTTGGTATGCATTTGGTAGTGATTCATGACGTCTCTGTAAGTAATATATCCATTCCAAGTTGTTTGTTCTGACTCCATGTAAACAACCTGACTAATGTTCATACCTTGTTGATATTTTGTGGGGAGAGATGCTCTTTACATGGGTGATGGTCTTTAAGAAAACACCCTGGGGGTCTGGCTGAAGAGCCTGTCTGATGTATAGACCTACAGTGCCTTCGGAAAGTATTCAGACCCCTTGACTTTTTCCACATTTTGTTACGTTACAGCCTTATTCTAAAAGGGATTTAAAAAAAGAATAATCCTCAGCAATCTACACACAATACCCCATAATGACAAAATGTGAAAACAGGTTTTTGGAAATTTTTGCAAATATATTAGATATAAAACAGAAATACCTTATTTACATAAGTATTCAGACACTTTGCTATGATACTCGAAATTGAGCTCAGGTGCATCCTGTTCCATTGATCATCCTTGAGATGTTTCTACAACTTGATTTGGAGTCCACCTGTGGTAAATTCAATTGATTGGACATGATTTGGGAAGGCACACACCTGTCTATATAAGGTCCCACAGTTGACAGTGCATGTCAGAGCAAGAACCAAGCCATGAGGTTGAAAGAATTGTCCGTAGAGCTCCGAGACAGGATTGTGTTGAGGCACAGATCTGGGGAAGGGTACCAAAAAATGTCTGCAGCATTGAAGGTCCCCAAGAACACAGTGGCCTCCATCATTCTTAAATGGAAGAAGTTTGAAACCACCAAGACTCTTCCTAGAGCTGGCCACCTGGTCAAACTGAGCAATCGGGGGAGGAGGGCCTTGGTGAGGGAGATGACCAAGAACCCGATTGCCACTCTGACAGGGCTCTAGAGTTCCTCTGTGGAGATGGGAGAAACTTCCAGAAGGACAACCATCTCTGCAGCACTCCACCAGTCAGGCCTTTATGGTAGATTGGCTAGATGGAAGCCACTCCTCAGTAAAATGCACATGACAGCCTGCTTGGAGTTTGCCAAAAGACACCTAAAGACTCTCAGACCAAGATAAACAAGATTCTCTGGTCTGATGAAACCAAGATTGAACTCTTTGGCCTGAATGCCAAGCTGTCACGTCTGGAGGAAACCTGGCACCATCCCTACGGTGAAGCATGGTGGTGGCAGCATCATGCTGTGGGGATGTTTTTCAGCAGCAGGAACTGGGAGACTAGTCAGGATCAAGGCAAAGATGAATGGAGAAAGTACAGAGGGATCCTTGATGAAAACCTGCTCCAGAGCGCTCAGGACCTCAGACTGGGGCGAAGGTTCACCTTCCAACAGGACAACAACAACCCTAAGCACACAGCCAAGACAACGCAGGAGTGGCTTCGGGACAAGTCTCTGGATGTCCTTGAGTGGCCCAGCCAGAGGTCGGACTTGAACCCGATCAAACATCTCTGGAGAGACCTGAAAATAGCTGTGCAGCAATGCTCCCCATCCAACCTGACAGAGCTTGAGAGGATCTGCAGAGAAGAATGGGAGAAACTCCCCAAATACAGGTGTGCCAAGCTTGTAGCGTCATACCCAAGAAGACTAGAGGCTGTAATCGCCGCCAAAGGTGCTTCAACAAAGTACTT